AGTAGTCCAAGTAATGACCATTGGAAAACATTAATTCGAGTCATTGAATACTTAAGACACACTTTAATTATGGATTACACTATTCATGTTAGCCTGCAAATTGAATATCTGACACAAATGATTCAAAGTCTACAAGTGGTTATGTGTTTACCATTGGAAGCAGATGTGTGTCCTGAAAATCATCTAAGCAAACTTATATAGTTCGATGCATAATGGAATATGCGTTTATTGCTTTAGATAAAATCTGAGAAGAAGCATAATTGCTTCATAATTTTCTCGAAGATATTTCATGTTGGGAAAAATAGGTACCTTTGATTAATATATAGTGTGATAATCAATCGGCAATTGTAAGGGCACAAAATAGTATGTATAATGGTAAATCTCGACATATTTTTCGAAAACACAATACTATTAAACAATTGATATCGAATGGTATAATCTCGATTAACTATGTTATGGTATAATCTCGATTAACTATATTAAATCAAAAGAAAACATGCAGATTCTTTGATGAAACGACTTACTAGAGATCAAGTATACAATCTTTCTAGAGGAACGGGCCTAAAGCCTATCGAATGGAATCAATATAACGGAAGTCCAACCTTATAGATTGAAGATCCCAAGATCTTGGTTCAATGAGATAACTAAGTTATGAAAGATTCAGTGTAAATCACTTACTCCCATTCATTCAAACCTAAAGTGCTAAAATAACAAAGTGTATAGGGATAATTGTATACTTTTAATAATTCATATATCTTGAAAGAATACAAGAGATGTATGATACAATACTATAGGCGATCACCTATATAAGTGTGAAGTGGGTCGCTTCTAAGAAAATTCGAGGCTTAACTTCTCTTAAAACACTTATGAAACCGAGAGTTGTTCAGGGTCAAAATAAAAACAACCATGAGAATCGAAATGATTAGATAAGTTATGATGCTCATACAGTTGTTTTGATTTAGACAAACGGCTGAATGGTTCAAGACATTGGGTTTACCAATTAATCTAGTAAATTCGATTGTATTCAACTAAGGAAGGCTCAAAGTCACAAGCCACCTATCCTTATACTATAGCTTTTCATATGTACTCATTTGTTAGAATCTGCATATCATTTGCATTTTTGAATTGCATATTGTGGAATTTCCATTCATGTGGGGGATTGTTGAAATTAGTTAAGTATTAAATCATGAAAAAGTGACTTTCGTGTTAACTTTGACCAAATTATGAAAATAAATAGACTAACATGTTCTACTCGTTGAGTAGATCATCTTGGCATATTTGGAGTCTCTAAACCAATTTCGAGTGAATGAGAAATTACGGTCTAAAGTAGGAAGAAAATAGAGGAAACTGGCTGAAAAATTGTTCAACTCCATTGCCACCTAGCGCTCAAGCGAGGAGGTTGTCGCTCGAGCGACAGACGAGCGATAGTCTCTGTTTCGACGCTTGAGCGATGCAAGGGTGACATGCTAGCGACATCTAAAGCTACGACCCTTGGCAAATGTTGATGAGTTTGTGGCATGGCACTTCACTGACAACTTTTCCTTCTTTATAAATTAGACCATTGGGACGTCATTTGTTCATTCTAATGATATGCAATTATAGGATAACATTAAATTCATCGATATGCAGTCATAGCATAACATTAAATTCATCATTTCTTAACCTAAATTCTGCATAAAGGCTGATTTTTCCATTTTTCATTTAAAATGAGTACAAAATGCAATTTTTGGTTCGTTGTTCTTGTGTTTTGAAGTGCTATTAACACAAGAAGTTTGTCGTCATATTTTGTGAGTTGATTGTCATCATCCGTAGGCACTGTTGCGGGGGCAAATTCTACTTAAGGATAAAGAATTCAACTCTTGCCTCGATTTTGCATACATTTATTTTTAGCGTTCTTTGACATTCATTTTCATTTGGTATTTTTACTGTTACTTTGTCAAAACTTTGGTAAGGTTGGTAAGTTGTTTTGGTTTAAAATCATCACTCAAATCCATCATTTTGGTCAACATTCCCTGGCCAGTCATTCTATCCAAGTATATCTTCCGAGACCTCAAGTTCAAGAGTCCAAGACTTCTATTTGATCTTCCCTCTCTTCGGGTGGTTCCATTCCTTGATTTTAATTTTTTAAGTATTAAGAGTGTTCACATTTTAGTGAAGAGAAAATTGACAACTCCCTGTGATTAACGTTAGATTTTCAAAAATAAAAACTTGTTTGAGCCTCATTTTATTGTACAAATGTATTTTGGAATAGTAGATTGATGGATAATGTGTTGTTAAAAAGTTAGAATTTTTTTTTGAATTTGCGTGTAATATTATTTTATTGAAAAATGTATGGTTGAAAAGAAGAGAAAGAAAAATGTATTTTGAAAATAATGAGAATCAAACAAGCTCAAAGAAACATTTTCATCCAAAAACAATAACAACAAACTAAGAACTCTTCTAAGTAAATTTAAAATCTTCTATGTCAATTATAATTTTTCATTTCATTCTTAAATAAATAATAAAGTTAAGTCTTTATTTTATTTTTCTATTTTAACCATTTCTACCAATTATTTTCACTACCGTGAAAAATAATTTATCTAAGTCAAATTGATATTGTTAAATTAATAAATAGTATATAAATTATTTGTTAGTGAAACATCAAAATAGGTTTAACTATTTCGAAAGCAAGTTTCCTCGTGGTCGAATTAAATGACTTTTTAGTTTACTTGGTTACAATGAGCCTCGTGTTGATTAAAATCTGTTAATACCTAATCCTATTTAATTTAAACAATTTGTCTTAACTGTCCAAATATGTCAATCGGTTAGAACTTCCAACAGGTAGTTTTAAGTACAGTTCTTACTGAAGTAACTTAACAGTTTTAAGGTTTGCAATTAATGATTTACTATACGATTAAGTAAGAAATAACACAGATATGGTGTGGAGAACAAATCCATTAATCAAGATACAAAAATACAATAGTTTCGGTTTAATAATTTCGCAAAATTAACCAAAACAATATAAAACAAATAAAAAATAACTCCATCGCTATCTTATTCCTTTTGACTTGTGGAGTCAAACCCCTAGATCTTGACTTTATCGCGTTCACTATTGCATTAGGTCGCAACCACCACTTCGATTAAGATTCTCCAATCTTAACTTAGGCCAAGTGGTCTGATCTTTGAACATAATTATATCAGTCACGTCAGGGTGTGTTCTCTTTGAATGTGACTAAAGAACACGAGTTTGCTTTGGGATGCTGAGCTAAATCTTCTGTCGGTTAGAACTCATTGAAGTTGGTCAAAATGCTTTTCCACGTCAAGCTGCAGGTTCATCGGATGTATGGCATTTTTCTCTCAAAACTTGTTTGATCCTTAATGTTCATCTTTACCTATATAAAGATTTCCACAAGATCTGAACATCTCTTAACTGAATTAAAAACTTTATGCACGGTAAGAATCACACAAGATATGGTTGATTTGGTCCATAGTTGAATTAAGGAAAGATTTTTCTAATATAACTAGTCGTTGACACGTGTGTTGCGCGAATTTTGTATTTGTTGTGTTTTTATTAGTGTAAAAATTGTCGATATTAAAAAAAAAAGTAGTTTAAGATTTATTGGATTATTCGGGAGCATATTATTGCTTCGTTATTGCTCCATCTAACATAGTGATTATTTCAAATATTACTGCACACAGAAATTCATCAAAAATAAAATTGAAAACATTACGTGTATGTAGATGATAATAGAAACGTTTGACATACATAAAGATTGCAGGTTTACATGAGTAAGAAATATTTGATTAAATCTACTATAAATACCAAACAACATTGAAATAAAAGAGAAACCGCGAATTCAATAAAATCCAAATCGCTAACATAAGTACATGAAAAAAGGAATAAAAAATATCGAAGATGAAAAATTATACAGTTAAATATTAGAAAATGAAGCAAAAGAAGAACACACAATATGGAATGAGCCAAAACAATTTATGAGAAATAAATTTTAGCGCATTAGGAAAAATAATTAACACACATGTTAGCATTCTCCATCACATTTTGTGCCTCAGGCAGTTTAGTTTCTGCTACAATAGCCAGCTCTGTATGCATCTTATCAAATGAATTTTCAACCCATATAAGTTGACCAGATTAGAAACTATACGCGTCATTAAAATAAAAAGGAAAACCTTAGAAGAAATTACATTTTTAGCAAATTCGTCGAATATTTCAGACTATCAGTGGAGTTCACGTATCACCTTTTCTTTATAGATAAAATTATGGAGTTGTATTTAATTGAGATTTTTGGAAATTTAAAAAGTTTAGGTGTATTTTATTGAAACTTTTAAGCCCTTGTTTTAGTTCAGCCTCATTTTTCCATCAAAATAAATAATATTACATACAAATTTTAAAAATTTTCTTATTTCTTAATTTCAAATTCTCTATTATAATACTATTACAAAATACATCTTTTAAAAAAGATGGGACTCAAACAAGCCTATTGAAGACTCTAAACTAGTTTAGGTGTATTCACTGAATGTCACGAGATAGATGCTAGATATTTGAGAATGAATTTTAGGAAATGCTTATTAGCACAAAACGTCAATACGTTTGGTATTTAGTGTGCAAAACGTCCCCATGTTTCAAATTTTTGCATTTTCACGTTTCATTGTGAAAAACGTTCTTTTTATCAATTTTTATCCAATTTCTCAATATAAAAAAATATAAATGACGAATATACCCTCATATTTAAATAAAATAAAAATAAAAATAAAAAACTAATTACAACTATACTCCCAAACCTAATAAAAAGTACAAATAACTCTCAAATAAATTATTAAAAAATTCAAAATAAAATAAAATGTTTCTCTCTCTCTTCTTCTTCCTCCTCCACCTCCACCTCCACCAAACAATTTCCAACAATATACTCGAAATCAATACTCCAACCTCTGAATCGATACTGCATTATCCTCCAAAACAATAAACAAATTGTCAATAAAACTTTGTAATAAAATTTGTCAACATGAAACTTTTTCAATTCTTGGAACATGAACCCATAAACCAAAGCCCCTTTTCTTATGGGTTTAATCAAGAATCAAATTCAAGCATAGTTACAATTGATGTGGGTGGTCAGCTTTTCCAAACCACCAAACAGACCCTTTCTTTAGCTGGCTCCAAGTCTCTGTTCTCCAAAATTTCAAATTCTAGTCAAACTATTCCATTTATTGATAGAGACCCTGAAATTTTTTCAGTTATACTTTCCCTTTTAAGAATTGGAAATCTTCCCTCAGAAGCCAAAGCATTTGATATTCAAGACCTGATTTTTGAATCCCAATTTTATGGTATTGAAAACCTCCTTGTAAATTCACAATCAAACCTTTCTCAGTTTGATGCATTTAACCTCGAAAAATCATTGGTTTTGCCTTTGGTGGTGGAGAAGGAAGAGAGGTTCAGAGACAGGTTTTTGGTTTATGGGTTCGTGTTCCAGAAAAAGTTTCATGTTGACAAATTTTGTTACAAAGTTTTATTGGCAATTTGTTTATTAAAAAAAGGATGAACCGCACCCTTAGCGGCTCCCACCTGCCCTACCCTGAGCCTTGATGAAGGAGGTAAATCACAGGTTATGCCTCCAAGGGTATAGGGTGAAAGGCTGCTTGTACACTTGTATTTACCCAACGGCCAAATTCATATTTCAGGATTTGAAGCCCTGACGCGGCAGCCTCAAGCAAAGCTGGAGTTTTTCCACCTTCCCCTTTTACCACTTGGAGATGTGCCCTGGGGGCATAAACAACCCATATAATAGGTCCGTTGTTGTATTGGTTGCAACTATTTCTGCATTATAACAT